CTGTCAGCTGGAATCCCACATGAGATGTATGAAATCCCCTTATATGTGAAATGTCTGTAAAACTAGCTTACCTTTTCAGAGTAGTGTTCTGAGGGCAAAGGTGGGTAGTCACACTGTTCTATCTTCTGACAAAGAGAAAACAGGTTCATTTTGTCTCCATAGAAAGGACTTTGAAGGGCTGCCATCTGTACAGAAACATATTTCATTTAAGAATCACACACTACAATATTTTATCACATTCTATTTAAATTATATTTTCATTTAATTATAAAGTGCCAAGATAAGCAGGTCAAACTTCACAGGAATAATAGCTTTCAACTGGGGATCCATGAAATGGCCATTTCTGCTCCATGGAGTTATTAAAAAAAGGCAATACAACCTAATATTAGAATTTCTGAAGCTCCAGCAATTTCCACAGATTAGTCCAGGGAGATGGTAAGCTTTCCTAGGGAGGCGAGTTTTCAGTAACTACTTAGAGGACTGGAGACTAAGAGAAAGACTAAATGGAAAGTACCCTATGGTGCCCCTCTTGCTCATGCACCCCCTGAACGTAGAAACCCTTAATTCACTTACCTGAATCCAGCGTCAAAGTCTGTTGGTGCTGGATTCGGGCTCCACCTCAGCTCCTCCACCCCCCAACCGACATGGCGACCTAAAGCGCATGCACGGCGAGAGTTACTATCGTATTAGGACAACCCCAAAGCATGAATCAATGCTTTTCTATGGCATTTTGACCTCATGCAGAGTGTGAAGAAGTCCGGTGTCATGCGGCCAAAAGTCGACAGCCACTAGAGGTGGAGTTAACAGTGCAAGTTATTATTGCAGTTTATCAATAACTGCAATAATTACAATTGCAGGGTTAAATGGACAGGGACAGTGCTCCCAGACCACTTCAATGAGCTGAAGTGGTGTTAGTGATTATAATGTTCCTCTAAAAGGACGAAATAGGCCAATCCTACGAATGCTAAGGTCCACAGATAAGGATGATGGAGATGCAGAAGTTGCTTGTTGTAAATGTCTATCTAGTATAACTGTGGGCATGATATATTGAGAGCCTGTGTACAGATTACTATCCATAAAGTCCAGGGGAGATTAACTACCCATTATAATAAAATACATATTTAGAAATATGGAACTGGGTTTGGAACTAAACCACCAACAGTCATAAAGCCACATCACTGCTTGGTAATGGTGTATATGTGATATTAGGTAACAATAGCTAAAGGGTTGTTTGGCAGACATAAAGGAATATGGTTAGGGTTAATTTATTTTTAGAATGCATTTTGGCAAATGTCACTTTCTAAAATGAAGCTACTGTAATGATGAAATATTAATGGTAACATTAACTGAAAATACATCTTGTTTGCTTTGTCTCTGTTACTGAAAAATAGAATGACAGCAGTCAGTTATGTGCATAAATACAATAAAGGAACAATAGGGTCTAAAATATCTTTGTCCAGGAATAACTATTTACTCTCTAGCTCTGGTTTGTCTTGTGGAACGGTAAGGGTTATTCACGCCTCCAGGTTCAGTAAGCAAGAGGCAGCATGTTCCCTCAGTGTACGAACCCTCACTGTGTCCCAGCTGCTTATTAAACCATTATGTGATTGGAGAGCCCCTTGTCACTGTCCTTCACTGTCACCCCCCCAGCTTTGAGGCGCTCTGTGGCCCCATCCTAATGAGCCTATACTGGGTAATTGTTGATATTATCCTGTTTTGCTGTGAGCAGAGTGTGCTGCTCTGCTTGTTTCAGGGGCCTTTACTTGGCTGATGTTTAATGCCTCTCGTTTGGATTTTAATAAGGGATTATTTGATAATTATTCTGCCCTTACGTCCTTAGGTTAGATATTCTGCTCATTACTATGCGTTGTGACAGGAATCCAGTGCAGAACGAGTGTCCTTCCATGACAGACATTAAACCCCCACTGTGACAATGAAAAAAAAAAAATCTTTACCAGAGTCATTATTATTCATATAACTTCCTCTTAACTCCTTTGTTGCTTGCTTACCACAATAGCACGAGTATCCCAGATATTTGGAGTAACGTTGACATAACAAATATCTATATTCTATGTATGGTTTATGTTCACCTTTAACCATTTGAGTACCAAACAGATAAACTACACAAGTTAGTCAGGTAAGCTTTTCAGTCCCATCACAAATGCAATTTGGGTTATACAAACCAATATTGGTAGCGGCAACATTACCACTGTTACTTGCCATATATAATATGTTCAGTATATAATACATTATAGGTCAAATAAAATGGTTACGTTTACCAGGTAACGTACAGCAAGAAAAAAAGAAGAATAAATGAACACTTCACAAAGACACAGCGTGACCACCAACAGTCCAGGATTTATGTATTTCAGTTTCATATTCAAATGTTGATACTGACAACACCTGGAGTTGCTGGTTCATAAGGACTGGGTTCGGGACCACTGCTCTAGACAATGTATAAACACTATTTGGGACTCAGTATAAAGACCCCAGTGGGAAGCAGCACTTCAAGCAATATATCAGAGGTCATACAAACAGTACCTGGGAGTTCTGAAACCTGAATTCACCGTCCTAATGACTATTTCTAACCTTTCACAGGAAATATATACACTGCAACGATGCATTCAATGGACAAGTTATTAGCTTCCCTGAGTAAGTGGGCATTATGGCCATGCTACCGGTAGTTCCAAATTATTAATAACTCACAGCAAGTATATCCAAATAAAAGGAGGATTTTTTTTTTAGCAACATATCACAACCCAAAAGAAAACACATTGTAGTTACAAGTCCCTCTATACCTATCCAATAAATTATATAATTTTAGTACTGTATTTAATTGAGCTGAATAGACAATTTAAGTCACAGGGCTCCTCATTACCTATGTAAGGTATAAAAGGAATAATAGAATACACAAAACTGGTGATGAATATCAATCTATTCTGTTTTTATAGTGGGGCGTGGGTTATAGGGGTTCTATGGTGTTCTGTACACAGAAAAAAAAAGAAGGCTAAGACATTCCCCCTAATATATTTAATATTTAGTTCCTCTGCCTGCACTGAAATGGGATAGGAAATAAAATGCATGATTGCAGAAATGACCAAATAACATATCAGAAACGGCCTAGTGGAAGCAAAACTGTTAAATAGTACAACACCAAAGCAATGAAGGCAGAAAATACTGATTGCTCCCGTTGGCTCTTTTTATGCTTGCTGTGCATTTGCAAGGCCTGGAATTTACAAAGACTTAAGAAAAAAAAGTCACAAATGTCACACTTATTACTTTATCTTTGATACAACTGAAGATAGTGACCTAACCTCAACAACAAAGCTTCATAAATTCTGACTTAAATAACCAAGAATTTGGAGCATAGGAGAGAGACTTCAGGCATTCCACGTGTTTTCCTAATAAGTGTTTGTGATGTAGGATTTGGGCTACATTTTGACATTTTGATTAGAACAATTACAGCTGAACGGCCAGATACCCTTATATAAATGGGCCCACCACTCATGCGGCTGGTTTAGGGAAATTGGGATTTGCTATATTTTTTGCTTAAATTGCCCTTCTTGTTAAGGCCAATAAAGGCATTGCTCATAGCAAGACAGGGGGTGGTGGGGGAACGACTTATTTTTATCTCGTTTGATTTATCTGGATGACAGAATCCCCTAAATCTAGCAAAACATGTCAGACATGGGGGTTATTAGAATGTTTCAATTGGCTGAGGAGGAGTTTGTTTGTATGACAGAAAAATTCAATAATTTATATTAAAATGATGTAAATGCTATAAAACAACCTCACATCACATTGACCGCACAAAGCTCACAATTGTTACCATATAAAGGCCTTGCACTGTAAATTCAAACAATACATGCTGACTAGGAGACAGGATTAACCCTTCGGGTGAATATGCAAAGTGCTTTCAGACCATCTGGCAGGAAAAATCATTTGTATTGTATTTGTAAAGGTCAACCTAGGGAGGGGGCATATATCAGCTTGATCTAGATAATCCAACACAGTTTGTAGGACCAAAGTATTTGTGCCTGACCATAGATGACCTGAATGTGACCTTAAGTTATAGGTTATACCGCATAGCCCATGATTAGCTACCAACCAGTGATGCTACTTTGTCAAAAAAAAATCATCACTGAACGCTCTGATTTAGAGTTTTAAATCTTAAGTAGGTTGAGTAGTCACCCAACAGCTATTACCTCTTGTATATATTACCTGGAATCTGCTGTGCACTTTATGATGTCAACCAAAGGTGCATAGAATTAAATACAGTGTGGAATTGAAATTGCAGGAAAACTAACGCAATAGACAGTTCTTCCAAAATTGAAAGGGACGTTTAACGTGTATTTTACACACACATGTGAAATATAATAATGCAACTATCAGCTATGTAACTAAGTTATCATAGTCTTTTTTGCTTGGAATAATAAAATACCTGCAAACATTCTGTGCTACTCACATTTTGCCTGTACTATTATTATTGTAAATGCATCTGTCCCGTTTGATTATTTTTATTTATTGTTACAGCAGTATTTGAAGCTCTGTTGCCATCCTTTGCCCACACTTCCTGGCACTTATCTACCGGTACTAGGAGTCATGAGAAGATACTAATGTCTATTGACAATCCTGCAAGAACCTCTATTGACGAAATTGTGTCATCTGCAAGAATCAGCCTGATTCCTATAGCCATTGCTAGTGTTGGCTGGGGCTGGGGTAATTGACAGAACTTCAAGTTTTCACAACCTTGAGCTTTACCATAAGACAAGATAGTCCCTGCTTTGTATTATTGTTTCTTTCGACTGTGTGATATTTTCAATGAAAATGTAACAGTCAATGAGTATTCATAAAAATTCTATCTTTATGAATTACTCAACATTTTGTGCGCTTTAAATTCAAGCACCAAATACGTAAATTAGATAAGTACACCAGGGGTTCTATGCTGACCAGTACTACTTAAAGCGGCACTGTCATGCCGAACTTACCTTTCTTTAATCGATTCCTCTTCTCTCCCTCTGTCAGGATCTGTTCTTCATTTCTTCCTGTCTGCTCTAGTTTTCTTTAAAACAGGAAGAAATGAAGAACAGATCCTGACAGAGGGAGAGACAAGGAATCGATTAAAGAAAGGTAAGTTTGGCATGACAGTGCTGCTTTAAAGAAACACTACACTACAGAACTGTATCCCTAACATTATACTGTCCTTCCACCCCCTCTACTTTCCCCAACCATCACGGCTTTTCCCTGGTGGCAAATAAAGGGTTAATAACCCTTCTTTTCCCCCCCCTTACCGGATTTCAGTGCTGGATGGGGTTGCTCCTCTGACGATCTCACAGAGAGCGTGTTTTAGGTCTTACCCATGGTAAAGCAATGCTTTCCTATGGAGATTTTGTATATGCTGAACGTCAAACTCCGTCAAACTGCAGGAAGGGCCTCTAGTGGCTGCCTTGTAGATAACCACTAGAGGCAGTCTTACCCTGCAATTTAAACATTGCAGTTTCTCTAAACCTGCTATATTTCACCATAGATAGTGTACCCAGACAACTTCAATGAGATAAAGTGGTTTGTGTGCCTATAGTATAGTGTCCTTTGAACTCAAAAGCTTGCAGCCACACAACAGTAACATTAAATGACAACCTTAACATATAAAACAGCAACATGACATGTAAATAACATACAATATTATAGGCTATTAAATACTTTGAGAGCTTAAGCTGATGTAATCATACTTAATGTTTAGATCTTGTATTTAGATTGGAATGCAAATAAGTCTGATTTAATTCTAGTGTTCTTGCAACCACTCTTGATTATGTTATGCTAGGACATTATTATTACCCAATAATCTAGGTTATAAGAGTGATGGATAATCAGTATATTTAGAACTGGAAGAGCAGCCAGTGGTTGGGAGGTAGGGGGGCAGATTCAATCTGCAATTTGCTGCACTATGAAGTTAAATCAAATCTGTGATTACCCTTAAAACTGTATTGTTGCTTTTAGTCAGTGTTAGAGCAGACATCATATTTACTGGTTTTCAAGGTAAATATGGAATATCAGTACTGCCAAGCCATACCACATGGTTACCACTCCAATTTAAAGTGTTGGCTGACAGAACTGGGATGATTCTGTAGGGATAATAAGGGTTGAAGAAGTGAGGATAATACAGAATTCTTTTTAGGTAACTACATAGAGATAACGAGTTACATATAAGCAGACTTATATAGTAATTTGTTTATTAGAGCAATTTGAATTAGCATTTCTGATATTACTGTTACTATTAAAAAATCAAACTCAAATGGCTTATATGTTTTATTAACTGCAATGATGAGGTGACAGTAGGCAAAAACTAGAGACAAGAAAATGCATATGTTCCTGCATCTCTGTCTAGCATACCTACTGTCTGTCCCTGAAAAAAAGACCGAGTCTTATACTGATTTTCCCCACGAATATTTTCTCGTAAAACGGTAGGTGCTTGTGAGCTGAAACATACAGCAGTGAACACTGGCACAACTCTCTGCATTCCAATAACATCACCTAACTTTAGAGGTGGTAATAGGTTGCGGTAGTGCCTTCATTTTTTAACAAATTCATTGTTGGCATCTTGGATAATAAAATACCCTGTCAACAGGGGCACACTATGGTCCCTTAGTGTGTTCTAGCCATATCCTCCTGATTGCAATCCTGGATTATTATTATTATTATTATTGCCATTTATATAGTGCCAACATATTCCACAGTGCTTTACAATATTATGAGAGGGGGGATTAAACAATAAATAGGACAATTACAAGAAAACCTACAGGAACGATAGGTTAAAGAGGACCCTGCTCAAACGAGCTTACAGTCTATAGGATAAAAAACACAAGATCCAGCGCACTCACCCATCCACTAAACAGCAACTTCAAAGTTGCTGTTTAGTGGATGGGTGAGTGCGCTGGATCTTGTGTTTTGTATTATTTGGCCCCCAGCAGCACCCCCATTTATGCATGTTCAGGTGAGTGCAGCCAACCCCCCTTGTTTCATACAGTCTATAGGATAACATATGTTACCATATGAGGAAATATAAGATCACTCTATTCTTTTACAAAATATTTTTTTCCGTTCCAATTTTAAGAAATATTTGTAATTTCCTGTTTTAACACATAAGACAGATAGAGTATTTTTTAAATGTGTAGGTTTTAAATGTGTTCTCTTATTTATTTATGGTAAGACACAAGAACATTTATTTAGCAACATAGCTAAAGACATCAGTACACAAAACAAATTAATAAAGTTATACAGGGCTTAGACCGCAGTAAGCAAGTACTCTGTTCAGTTCCTCAAGAGTAATTAATGGGCATGTTTTATGGGTGGGAGCGGAATGTTGTACAAACAGATTAGTCAGAGAGATCTGTTAGGTGCAATTAATACTACAAACATAACAGCTGCATAGCTTGTATACTACCATCTGGATTTGTGTTACAGCCATCCAAGAACTTAGGCTATATGCAAATATCATCCCATTAAAGGGTTCCTTTGCTATGAGGTTTGTTCTGCAGTTTCGCCAACACAAATGTCCCATTCAATAAAACTGTCTCTTATCAGCAATGCCTGTCTACAAAACATGCATAGCACACCTTTTATTCACTCTGGGATATTGTTCACATTTTAGATGTGTCTATATATACTGGAAACATTTAATTAACAGTAACAAAATTTGTTTTTTGTGTGTTTTTTTACACTGTCCCTATCTGTTATTTATTTCCATTATTTCAGACAGTCTTACATAGGATATTATAGAACAGTAGTGATAACATGTCATGTTTATTGGAAATTATTACTATAATAATATGTACTAAATACCTCTCACCTTTAGGAGGAACAGTTAGAACAGGGAGTGGCAGGCAGACCATTGGAGAATTGTTAGTTTGCTGTATTTCTGAGCTCTTATTTGTACTGGTTATGGTGCCCAGACACCGTCCCATAATAAGTTGTCAAACAGTTTTTATATATTTTATATGAAGACTAATTTTAGAGCAAAGTAGGACCATAATGGTTGGCTGAGAGTTCTCTGACCTAATAATTGTGGTCCCTGTTTTACTCTAAAGTGACATCTGGCTTGGAGACCAGATGCAGCATGGATTCTTGGTGGGACCCAGGTAAGTAGTCAAACAGTACAAAAATGGTTTGACATCTTACCACTGGACAGAGTTATTACACTCCTGACACTATAACCACTGCAGCAGGTGCAGTTCTGACATTATAACCACTGCTTGGTACATTGCTTTTTTTTTTTTTTAACTATTGAAGAGTGAGACTAATTTTTGTTTGTGGATTTTCTTCCCCAAATGTGGCTTGTATAGCGCATTTTCTTTGTATTTGCACTTTTTCTGCCTTTGTATTACACCGTTTATTGTATATTTTAAAATATGGTTTCTAATAAAGTTAAATTTTTATTCTAAATGGTATTATATGGTTTGGAACTGGAGTGCAAAAGGTATACATATATGTATTATGGTTGTGTATACACAGTTTAAATACAGTTTTCCCAGCCGATACTTACTTCGTACAAAAGGCAGCCCAATGACCAGATATCAGACTTGAAGTTGTAGCCATTTTCATGTATTCTCTCTGGTGACATGTAATATGGTGTTCCCACTGAAAATAGGAAAATATAAACCTTGTTCATATTAATTAGCCAGGCTGGAGAAAATAGATTTTTTTACAGAACTATATAGTAATCAAATGCATTTACTAAGAAAGTGATTAACCAGGTATAAAACATGAAATAGGTGCATGTTTAAAACAGCTGTTATACCATATTCATTATATTTGTGTGCGCTTAATGGTGGATCAAAAGTGGTGTATACATACATTGTAGGCATTTTATGTAACCACAGCCTCTGACTGCCAAAAGAAATACAGTATGCTTAGCATTTTTATTATGTAAACCAGTGGTAGTCAACCTGGTCCCTACCAGCCACTACTGGGTGATTCAAGCTTTCATAGTGGGCAGTAGTGGGTTTTATCCCAAACCCTTGGTTTTCTGGCTCAACCACATGCTCCAAACAGACACGGACCTTCCTCCAGCCATCGAGAGAGACCTCACAAAAACACCTCTTTTAAATCTCTCTCGATGGCTAAAAGGAAGCTCCAGCAGGAATGCACTCCTGATCCGGACGGACGTGGGTGTGATGATGTCATATTCCGTAAGAGGAGGGGAGCTGATGCACTTTATGTGAAAGCAAAGACCGGAAGAAGGGTGGCATTTAGAGTGGCTGATATTGAATTGATATTGAATTTTGGCAAGCTAACTTGTGTTATTTTCCTTTGGCAAGCAAAATTCTCTTATTTTCTGTTTACTTGGTTTACTTAACAAAAAAATAAAAGAAAGAAATAAAGGAAAAGGATAAAATATACCCCAGATATAAAGATATTCCTTTTTTCAGTTTTTGTTGTTGTTGGCTAATAATAAAGTGGGCTAACAAGTTCAGCCTTACTGCCGGTGATTGCAATAAGGAAAAGAAAAGACAAGAAGAAATAAAAATAAATAAATGCAAAAATCCAGTTTTCACATTTAACTTTCTTTTTCTTAAATTTATGCAGCTCGCATGCTAGTAGGCGCTGCATCAACAGAGATGCGAAAATTCATTCAATTTAATTTATATATGTATAAACATGCATAAAGTAGATATAAAAATATACATTTAAGTACATATTTTTTAAAATAACCCTCCTTTAAATTTTTTTTACAAAATTGAGTTATTGCGGCACCAGTGGGGGGTAAGAATATTTTACCATTCAAACAGATACATAAGCGGGAGGTAGGTATTAAAAGGTTGACTACACCTGATGTAAACAGTCAGGGACTGTGCAGGTCAATTATCTTAGTAAAAATATATATTACAAAACTAAGATATTTTTTATAATGTTAAATAATTTTTTAAAAAAGATTATCCAAAAATATGAAATAATTTGGAAATCTTATTCAACAATATTAAATTGAGACCTCTATTCTATGTATGGTATAAAATTATAGGGGAATTAAAGACAGCATTATAGTCTATATTGCAATTATATAAAGAATGTCTTATCGGTTTTCATGATAGGTAGTTGCATGTGTGTGTTAACATTGATGTGGTTAGTTTAAAAAAATATGTATCTCCGGTGTAGGCTGTAATGAAACGATTAGGTAGGAGGACACATACCGGTATATAACATGATTACCATTAATTAAAAGCTTTAAACTTTAGAGCATAATATTTCTAAGAACTGTCCAACCAAAGCTCCCTCCTCTTCTTGACAGTACTGCGTCAGAGTCCGAAACGAAGGCTGCAAACCCTACATCAGGTGGACAAAGTGTCTGAAAAAACGTTCTCTGTAAATGAATAAGTAGATTGTTGATAGCTACATATATATATATATATATATATACACACATACATATACATATACATATAAATATAATTCCTTTTTACACTTACGCAATAGCTAAACAAATAGCTTGCATTTCCACAGGCTATTTAAAGGGATTTATATTTATTGGCTTGCCTATAAAGCACAGCACTTTATAATCTATAACTAGTAGAATACATGACTTGAAACATGATACTCTCCCATCTTAAAGAGCTACATGATTTTTCTGCTTGGAACTGTTCAGAAAAAGGAAAAAACCATGACAGTAGCTCCTTATAAACTGTGCAGAATCTTACAATGCGTTCTATATGTAATATATTAAAATGAATGGACTAAAAATGTATTAACACATTGCGCATTGCTCATCTTGTATCTCCAACACACACTGCAATCCATATAACACTCTCAACATAGCAAGATAGAGTGACAAATACTGGGCTGTTTCACTATTCTGCACAGCAGAACTTCTCATGGGGAAAGTAATTGATCAGGACTGGTTACTGATAAGTGTGTTTGCGTGTATGTGGGGAGGGGGGAATGAGCAGATAAAATTAGATCCATAAAAAAACAGTCGCTCGACCAGATTAAACTCATTAAAATTCAATGGCATCCATATTTATAGAAAGGATTAGCACATGTAATGGACATGTAATGCCTGTATATTACTAATGTGAAACATACACCTAACGAACTTGTGGTCTCCCTATAAATAAAAACTATGTGCATTTTATTAAAATCTCTACTGTTGAATAATTAATCTCTCGCGGGACATCCTGTAATTATACTGGGTATGGTAAGTGGCATTCCAGAGTGCCTTATTGCCACTACAAAATATTATCTAGTTTTCACAATCTTTAGAAATGATGTTCAATAGTGACATATTTTATTCTCCTTTTTATTGTTTTGTTTTGTCAGTTTCTGCTTCTTGATTGACAATCACTTGGCACTTTAGGTTACTTTTTGGAAAATATTACAGTTATACCAATGTAGGAATACATATATCATAGCAAAACAGGTGCTATTTTGGGGCAAAGTGATAAATAAAGAGCAATTACCATGAAATCTTATTGAATGTCTCTGAACAATTTAGCACTTTTCAAGGTTTGAAGGCATATTGTCTTAGTGAAGAAAAAGTAAGGTTTGTTTTGTGTCCTATGCCAATGTCACAATGTCCTACAATGTTATTTGTATTGTACCATATCTGACACTGATTTTAATTTCAAGACCTGTTCTGGGTCCCTGTAGTTACACTTTGTAGATAGTTACCATCTACATTATTGCATATAAAATCTTCTGAAACATCAACTATAGAAAAATCTACATTTGGATACACTTTTTTTGTTAAAGAAAAAAAACCTATAATTTTTTTTTAATTAACGGCATTATGCTTTAAACATCAATTAAAAAAATATATATAAGAATAAAAAAAAAAATGTTAGGTTGAAGCTAGGACCTGGCTCCTCATCTAACTCTACACTGATACTGCTCTCTCATATTTTTGCATCCACTCTGGCCTCTGCTTTCTCCTGTGCATTTAATTTTCCTTTTATAGGG